GTATCGAGTGAGGAAGATAGGTCAATCCGCACCTGTAGGAGAGAACAACTATGCCAAAATTCAGATTTTGGAATTAAGGTTGATGTTCCTGATTTCAGTGGAACATTACTCGAATGAATTCTTTAATTGGCTACACACGGTGTAGTGAATTCTTGATTACAATGAAATGCCACAAGAAAATGTGATCAAGTTGGTGGCAATCAAACTCAAAAAGAATGCATCACTTTTGTGGGAGAACTTGAAGAGAATAAGACAAAGATAGGAGCGGGCGTTCAAAGTTTATAACTTGGGTTAAAATGAATAATGAATTAGAAAGAAAATTATCGTTGGAGCATTACTGACAAAAAGTTCTCTTAAAGTTATCTAATCTACAGCAAAAGACTTGACGGTGAAGGAATATGCGAAGGAATTCAAACGACATGGGCTGAATAGCAACCTAACCGAACTGAAAGAGCATTATATTGCTCTATTATTGGGTGTGCTAAGGCCAACTATAGACCGCGTGGTACAACTACAACCTTTGTGGACCTTTCAAAATGTCATCAATCTTGCTGTCAAAGTTGAACGACAACATAAATGTCATAAAACTGCACCCTTACATTACTCCCTTGGGGGAGAAATCAGTTCATTCTAGAATTGGACAAAATCGGGTCGAACTGAGTGGGAGGAAAGGAAAATCCATCAATAGTGATGTTGTTTTCTAGCCTTAGGGAACATCAAAAATGGGTACAAACCTGTCTTCAAGGTGTTTTGAGTGACATGGGTTTGGACATATTGCATCTAATTGTCTTAACCGCTAGGTCATGTCATTGGTATAAGAAAACAATTCATCAGAGGAAATCTAGGGAAAAGAAGGCAACAACCATACAAGAAAGCAAGTGTTGTCTGCCGATGAAGGGGGCATTGTTGGCCCTTTGTAGACTCTTGAATATGGAGCCCCTTCCCAACCAGGAATGGCTTTGTCATAATATTTTTAGTACAAGATGCATGGTGTGGGATAAAGCGTTCAACCTCATCATCGATGGTGGAGGTTGTGAAAACGTAGCTTCTACTATAATAGTAGAGAAACTCGGATTGATCACACAACCACATATTGTATAATTTCTGGTTGAGAATGAGCTCCAAGTTACTAGACAATGTCTTGTATAATTTTCTATTGGCCAAAAGTTCCAAGAAGAGGTCCAATGCAATGCCATTCCCGTGGATGCTTGTCATTTATTTCTTGGAAGGCCATGGCAATATGATTGAAAAACTACCCATTGTGGATTCAGCAATACTTATGTTTAGTATTAATTTCTATTGGCTAAAAGTTACAAAAAGAGGTTAAATGCAATGCCATCCCCATGTATGCTTGTCATTTATTGCTTGGAAGGTCATGGAAATATGATAAAAAACTACCCATTGTGGGTTCAACAATACTTATATCTAGTATAATTTTCTATCGGCCAAAAGTTCCAAATAAAGGTGCAATGTGACGCCATTCCCATGGATGTTGGTCATTTATTGCTTGGAAGGCCTTGGCAATATGATCGAAAAACTACCCATTGTGGATTCAACAATACTTGTGCCTTCAATAACAATGGTAGCACTGTTGTGTTGGTTTCCCATGAAGAAGGACACACCATCAAGGGTTTAACCTCAGACTATTCAAAATCACACAGCCCTTTTCATGAAAGAATTAAAGGAGGCAGCCTTAGGTTTAGCACTTCTCATCGCTACCATTCAAGTAAGCCACCACCACCATCTATGGAAGTTGAAAGACTATTGTAGCAATTCAAAACAGTTTTTTTCCGACGAGATTCCAGCAAGTTTGCTGCCTTTAAGAGAAATCCAGCACGACGTTGACTTTATTTTGAGCTCCATTATTCCTAACCGTGCCACATATCAAATGTCTATGAGGAGCTATAGCATCAAGTGAAAATGTTAATTCAAAAGGATCTTGTTTGGCCCTGTTTGATTCCTTGTGCGGTTTCCTTTTTGTTGGCATCCTTGAATGATGGATCGTGCCACATGTGTATCAATAGTCGGGCAGTGAATAAGATAACTATTAAGTACCACCCCATCTAGATGACCTTTTTGATCACTTAAAGGGTCTATAAGTTTTTCAAGGTGGACTTGAAAATTGGATACCACCAAATATGAGTGCTCCCTCGAGATGAATGGAAAATAGCATTTAAGACGTGTGATGTGTTGTATGAATGGATTATTATGTCGTTTGTGCATTCTGCCTAAAGTACCTTCATGTGCTTGATGAACCTAATTTTTCAACCTCTCTTGGGGAAATTTGTAATAGTATATACTTTGTTGACATATTTTTCTCAGCCAAAATCGAAGTAAGGTTTTTGAGATTCTAAAAGTGCATCGATTGTTTGCAAACAAAGAGAAATGTCAATTCATAGTGGCTATTATTAATTTCCTTGGGTTTATGATTTCGGCCAAGGGCATGGAGATGGATCCGAGTAAGTTCAGGGCAATAGAGGAATGGAGGCAACCCACTTCTCTCACTATCGTGAGACAATTTCATATGTTGGCTTCTTTCTATCTTCATTTAATTCAAAATTTTAGCACCTTTGCCGCACCTACACCGAATTACTTAAAGTCTCTCAGCCTTGTTGGACTGAAATGGCTCAAATAAGTATTGAGCAATTGAAGGAAGCAATTTGTTCTGCTCTGATGTTGAGACTTCCAATTTTGACTTCTTATGTGAGGTAGACTGCGACACTTTTAGGGCCATCGAAACGGCTCGTTGTTCGCAAACAGTTCGTGTTTGGCTCATATTTGATTCGTTCGTTAAGCAAATGAGTCGAAAACGAACAATTTCTTTGCTCTCGATATATAAACGAGGCAAACAGGAACAAAGATTTGTTCGTTCATGCTTTAGCTCGTTTTGGCTCGAAATACTTAAATTATATATATATATATATATATATATATTTGATGAGTCAAGATTTTTCAAACCCCGTCTGCCTTAGAATCTATCACCGATAATATAGATGGAAATACTTCTACTGTTTCACGACTGTCTCATCAGGTCCAGAAACATGTTAGTGTTACTTAGACTCATGGGGATCATGATGTGCAACAACCTACAACTGTTCGACCACATTTAAAATCTACTGATCAAATGAGTCAATCATCGGATGAGGAATGACAAGTTTACACATTCAGGAGGAAGAAGAAAAATGAAAATCTACTTGAGCTCAGGAATCTGATGGATGATACTTTGGTTATTACGGGCAATGATACTCATCTTACTAATTTGTTAGTCGGCTCACTTCCGAGAATTAGCGGCAGGAGGACTAAAGTGGGACGTCCCTAGCACTTTTGTGTCATTTTATAGCTTTTTGGTTTTCTTTTTTTTCCTTTAAGTATCTTTGCTTTATTTGAGTTTTGTGTGTTTTTTTGTATGAGTTAGGCTTTTTAGACCCTCTCATGCAACATTTCTGTATCTTTTCCGTATTAATATATTTGCCCTTGGGTTTTTTCTATATATATATATATATTATTTGTAGCCTTGTAGATAACTAATTTATTTTAAAAAATATTCATCAAATATATATATATATATTTGATGAATATTTTTTAAAATAAATTAGTTATCTACAAGGCTACAAAGTTTTTTAAATAAATTATATTTAAATGATTTTTTAATATTAAAAAATTATATCTCTCACCCTTAACATCCTACGGAGTCGTGATTGGGGGTTTAAACGAGCCGAACACGAGCGAGTCCAGGCTCAGCTCGTGTTTGACTCGTTTATATTTCGAGCTCAAAAAGTGTGTTCGTGTTCGGCTCGTTTGCTTAACGAGCCAAATACGAGCTGTTCATGAACAAAGAGCCGTTTTGACAACCTTAATCACGTAGCCGTAAGATATTAAGCGTTGGAGCAAGATTTCAAAATTATTGTTTATATCAAAACATCATTTGAATCTAATATAATAATTTTTATTCTATTTTCTTATTTAATACTTTTAATTGATTATAAATCTTTGTAGCCCTATAGTCAATTAATTTTTTTAATAATACTTATAGACAATATAATTGATGAGTAGTATTTCGAGCCAAAACAAACCGAACAGGAACAAACAAATCTTTGTTCGTGTTCGGCTCGTTAACTTAGTGAACGAGCCGAACACAATTTTCGCGAACAATGAGTCGTTTTGATAGTCCTAAGCGTGACTAGAGTTGTCAAAATGTCTCTTTGTTCGCGAACAGTTAGTGTTCGACTCACTAAGCAAATAAATTAAACACAAACATTTATAGTTTTTAAACGAGCAGAACACGAGCTTAGCCCGAGCTCGCTCGTGCTCGATCCTTTTACACCCCTAGACGCATATGGAGTTGACATTGGAGCTTTGAAATATGTTCAAAGCCAAAACAAGCTAAAAGGAAGTCATACCACTTGGGTGGAATTTCTTTCATCTTTTCATTTCACCCTAAAGCATAAGTCCGATGTTACGAATGAAGTGGCCAACGCTCATAGCTGCAGGTATCAAGTGTTAGCTACCTTCAAGCCACAGTAGGGGGCTTTGACATATGCAAGTAGCTTTATGAATGAGATGGTGACAATCAAGAAATTTTGAAGAAATGCTTGTAAGGATCTCATCACATGTTTCATATCAAGGAAGGTTTCCTCTTCTTCGGAGCTCGTTTTTGTGTACCGCAATGTTTCGAGGGAGGCCCTGTTAGACTAATGCCATGATGGGGGTTTAGCCAGCCACTTTGGAAGGTACAAGATTTTAGCCTTCCTACAAGATAAATTCTATTGGCCTTCCATTCGGGTGGTTGTGGTGCAGTATATGAAGAGGTGTTAAGTGAGAAAAAGAACAAAAATTCGAACTCAGAATTCTGGCTGTATTTACTATTCTGATTCCTGAAGCTCGTTGGTTTGATGTGAGCTTAGTTTTTATTGTGGGTTTGCATGAATCCAACTTAACAAATAAATTATTATGGTGGTGGTGGATTGGCTTTCAAAAATGGTACTTTCTATATTTTGCAGGACTACTTTGGATGCATCTCATGTTGCCGACATATACTTCAAGTGGTGCGTGTTCATGGAGTACCCCATACTATTGTCTCCAATCGAAATGTGAAGTTCTCAAGTCACTTATGGCAAACCTTGTGGAGGAAGTTTGGAACTAAATTACAATTTAGTTCAACGGCCCATTCTCAAACGGATGGCCAAACCAAATGCAAGCTTGAGGAATTTGTTGAGATGATATGTGGGAAAAAAATATACGACAATTAGACCTTTTATTATCATAATTGGAGTTTGCTTACAATAAGTACCGCAATCACACCTCCAAGTTTAGTCTCTTTGAAGTGGTGTCTGGCCGCAATTCCCTGCCCTTTCTCCCTTGGATCTCTTACTTATCATGGAAATGTGTTTGGTCTGTAACTAGGTTGTACTCTTCCTGGGGGTGTTTGTGAGGCCTGTTAGCTGCTGTCCTAAACTGATTCCTGTTGCCAACTGTGGCAGTTTTCAGTTCTTGAAGGAAGACAGCTGAGTGATCAGTTGTTTCCCTGTTGTGTCACCATCACAGAAGGGGAAAAACAATAGGTTTTCCCCTATCGCGCGGAGTTTACACACTTGAGCAAAGTTCGAGCGAGCATTTGTATGCTTCGACTGTTGGCAAATGGCGAGGCAGCAAGAAAGGTGTAGTTTTTTGGGTTAGGATTTCAAAATCAGAGTTTTAGATTTTACTTTTTTATAAGCTCTCCCAAGTTTTGGAACATTTTCAAAAAAATCTAAAATTGAAATTAACTGTGCTAAAATTATATTAGGGTTTTTGTGTGGTGGCTGATTATATTACGGGCTTTGCCATGGGAGAGCAAAATTTAGGTATGAAGATTAATTTCAATATTTAATTATTATTTTTTAAGTTAATCTTGGTGAAATTTAAGTGACATTTAATAAACCTAAATTTAAAGCATAATCAAGTTACTTTTAACTTAAAACATGTCAAAAGATGTTGAGGAAATCCACCCAATTAACTATCTCAATATTAATTGATTTAATTGTGATACAGCATTTTATGTAATAAGCTTAAGGAGAAGTGGCTAGATCACTTAATTGGAGACTGTAAAGAGAATAAGATATATTTACATATGAAGCCATAATTAATAACTTAATTAAACAAAATACAAACAAAAGTTTTTTAAGCATTTAAGTTAGAATTCATATAAAAGTACAATAATAATCAAATTTAATTAAATATATCATTATTGGTACCACAAATAACCAATTTCATATGAGAAATTGGCAATCGACTGTAAAACAATTCGATAAATATATTTTTATTTTACAATAATTCTTTTTATATATGAAATCACTTGTAAATGCTTTTACTTCTAAAATTGGTTAAAGCAAATGTTAAATAAAATAAATAAATAAAATATGATATATGCACATGCATTTGGAGTCTCCCTCGTGGGCATCAAAATACCCATGCATGTAAAATGAAAATGTAAGTTGGTACCTACTTTCTTAGTGGGTTTTGGAAAATATTATGGATAGTGTACTTTTGTAGTACACATTTAGATGATTCTCATTGACGAATGTTTTAACTGAAATACATAATAGTAACAATAAAATTAATGTCTTTATTCTCATTTTTATTGCTTATTTTTATTTTATAAAAATATTTTAAAAATGTGAATTATTATAATTTAGAGACATTTTATCTACATAGTCTTTTAACTCATTCATTTAACTAATAAAATGATTTAGGGAAACCTTTTTTAAGTGTAAATGAAAGTTAGAGATATTGTTTACATATGTCGAAGAACCCATAGTGATTGATGCATCATTTTAGATTTACATATCTTCCCATTAGCAAAACTTCAATTCTGAAGGAACTGTATAAATCTTTGTCTGATTGTCAGTTACCGCCTTAGTATTTCAAGCACCTCGGTGGTGTCGTTATATTATGTTAATTATTTTTATTCATGATTTTTTCATCTTATTGTAATTATAAAAAAAACTTATTTTATTCATTTAGCTTTCATGTCAGCAATTAATTTTTTTAATCAAATAACCCCCTTGCATCACTTCAGATGGTAAGCAAGCTTACAAAACATAACATTAGCAAGGGAAGGTGACATGTTTAGGTGTTAGATATGTAAATTCAAAAGAATTGAGTGGCATGTATGTAAATCTTCCTCATATTCATCCATCCACTCATGCAGGTTACAGGCGGACTGACTTCCCAACCAGGTTTCTCTCCCAGTGTTGCCCAGTTTTTGCATTCATTTTTGTTTGTATATCGAATGTCTATTTTTGTTCCATATACTCTTCAATTTTATTTAATTCTTTAGCTTTAATTCTTTGGTTGGTAGACAAGCAGAGGGGTGTACCTCTTAAGGTCAGCATGCATGATATGAGCATTTAGTCACCCAAACTTTATTTTTGAAGCTGCAATATCTCTGTAAATTAGTTGAGCAGAATAGCCACTTTTATTTTTTATATATAGCACAGATTTTAAAAATCTATTGGCCATTTACATACCATGCAATTCTTATGTATTCACATATCTAACACCTGCAATTCTTATGTATTTACATATCTAACACCCAAACATTTATATTTTACATGCATATTGCTCAAATTTTTAACATCACATAAAAATACTTTTTCGTCATCCTTTTATAAATGAAAATTGCATTTTTCATGATAGATTTATAACAAGTGTTGTAAATATAAATATTAAATTTCTGGTGTTGAATATGTAAATACATGAGAATTTGATCGGTCATCACATCTCAACATCATTGGTATGCGAGTATATGTTCTTCTAAATGAGCTAGCTGGGCTAGAGTACATTTTTTTTTATCACTGATGATGAATGCTTGTTTTCTAGAGGATATTAACGCACAATATCTTGTGTTGGGACAGCTAGTAGTAAATTTATTTAAACTTAATTTGAAAATAAATGTTTATATTGTTGGGTTTCATTTAATTTAATTTAATTTAAGGAAAGGCTTTGCCTGAGGCTATTATATGAGTCTCCAGCCACCTTTAATGTGCCCAACAATTTGAGCACCACCTTAAAATCATGTTATAGAAGATTCGAACCTCCGACTTGAAGAGTCTTATATCATGAATGTCAAGCAACAGGCTGGGTACACAATTTCATTAAATTATATATATATATATTAAAACTGAGAACAAAATGCAACTTTTTGAATTCTCTACCTTAAAAAAAAAAAAAACTAGATTCAACTAATAGGTCATAGATCCTCTCACAACCAAACAGCTTGAGATTTGAAAATATGAAGTGACTTGAACCCAAATAAAGAGCTCACGTCGAAAGCCTCATCATATAATCATACATTCCACTCAAATATTAACTTTATAATTACCAGCAAGCAGACATAAAATTAAAAGTACAAAATGAAAAAAATAAAACATAATAAATAAAATACTTATTCTCAAAGAAAGAGATTTAGCCAAAAACTCTATTCATTGCTATGAGACTTGAAAGTGCTTTGATCAGACAAGTACAGCTTCATAAATGCCAGGTAAGCTTAAAAGTTCACAATAATGAAGATAAATATTTGTTAAATGGCAGAAGTTTCCACATCAATCAAAATATAAATTCTCCAAGACATATTTCTTCTGCATATTAGACTGATGATGATGAGCATGTACATGCAGAGAGGCCTCTTCAACAGAGTAACAACAGTAGATGGAAACAGCCAAACCAAAGAGCCTCTGTAGCTAATTATATCTAAGCCAAACATGATTACTTCTGTAGCAGCCTTTTCTCAAAAAATTTCACAATCTGGCTCTGGGATGGAGATGGGTTCCCATCAGTAATAAAATCAAGCTTCCAATTTTTGGTTAACTTGTGAAGGAAAGATGTGAGAACTGCAAAACAAATGGGCTTTCTACATGAAATAGCTGAGTGCCTTTTTCTTCCTGGATCCACCCTCTCCATACAACTCATTCCACTGCAGAAGCTCGCTCATATTCGTTGATTCAGAGGAGACGCTCGCACAAACCTGGCCAGAAGAAAAAATAATAGAAATGTTGAAATTAAATAGAAAGAAATTCATTGTAACTGCAAAACTGTCAGGCACTAGCTCAAAGAAGCAATATCTCGATTGGTGAGAGTTAATGTCATTAAAAATGGCATTAGAGCATTACGACAGTCTGAAAATGAGAAATAAGTACCATACAAAATAAAATGTTTAGCCATGAGAGTCATTTCTTGAATCCTAGATGAGACTGCTAGATGGTGTGGGCCACCTTATGAATTCTATCTGTCTGGTGAATGATTCTAGGTTAAGAAAATTGATGAGGACGCCAGCCACTTAAGTTCAGTAGATTGTGAAACCCCTCGAGTAAAATGAAATTGAGTTCTTAAAAATCGAGGTACCTTTTGATGTAACTATTAAAATTTCATCAGAAATTCTAAAGTGTGCTCAATGGGTGACATCTTCGGAAGTTATATTAATGGGAAAATCAAGAAGTTCATTGCAGGCTAGGAGGTTCCTAAAGAGAAAGATCCAAGTTTTGTGACACCAACTAGTAAAGCTTGGGTCGGTATAACGAGAAACCTATGCAATTTCAGCCTATGATCACTACAGCTGAGAAACCCCAACAATGGCGATGATAATCAGTTAAGGCAAAATGAGTACATTGAGTTTCTGTTAAGTAGAATTTACAAAACTTTTAGAAAATGTTCCGATTTCGAGAAAGTAATAAGGAAATGAAAGAAGGGAATTGTTTTAATGAAGTAAAGAATTTTTTCTCTTGTTTGGCTGTAATTTTCCTGAGGGCAATACCAGAAGTTGAAAGAAAATGCCCTAATTAAGAAAAGCTGACAGAAAGCCATGCTGAAGCTAGAAAAATACACTTATGCTCTTTCCATGGATTTAGTTGAGAAATTTAAAAAGAAAGTATTCAGTGATGAAAACTTCCTCAAAATATCATTCCAATTAATCACTGGGAAAGTATTTAATCATGAAATTCACCTCATATTTTTTTTATTCCCATTTTATTCTCCGATTGAGACATAATATATGATATCAGACATGACAGGCCCATAAATTTCTTTGTATGAAGAAAAAAAATGAGCATGCAACAAGGTCCACTGTAAATCAGGCATTTAAAGAAGTAATTGAAGTTTCTTGTTCAAATTAATAAGGATAATGACGATGCTCATACTGATCAATCTGCCAATAAATATTCAGCTGTTGAGTATTTCAAAAAATAAAGGTTTTTCTTGTTTTTCATAGTCAACAATTTAGTTGTAAAGTCTGATTTTAGTTACCCAGGGGGAGGGTAAACGAAAATCGAAGAATATGTGGCAAGGAGACGGGCAGCCGATCAGAGGCGAGAGGAAGCGAGGGGGATCGGAATCCTAGGAGGCGTGTCGCTCTACAAATAGATACGAGAAGCAAGAGCTTACGGGCATGCGGTCGAAGAGCAGAGGGAGGAAGAAGGAGAGGTGTTGCACACTTTCTTACCCGAGGAAACGACGTAGCAGGCCTAGTGCTCAAGGGAAGAAGAGGATCTCAGCACTGCTTTGCTGCGCCAAGTTGTGACTAGAGGCAAAGGAAGCAAGATGGCATAATAGGTGAATTCCTCGTGTGAAAGAAGAAGAAGCTCTCCCGAGTTCACGTACGCTATTGCCATACGAAGGAGGAAGCAGACGTCGATGTTGACGTCGAGAGCTCGTGCGGGAGAGAGCCGAACACGAGGGAGGAATGAGTAACATGGATCTCATTTGCAGGGGAGAAGAAATTTCTTTTCTTGCATGCAGGAAACGGGTTCGCGTGCAAAAGGAAGCTTATCTAGCGTAGTTTAAGGCTCGACCAAGGAAGATAATGTTTATTTAATTGGTTTAATAATAAAATCAATAATAGTATATATATATATATAAGATCAGGCAGAAGCTATTATACGAGCCTCCTAACCAACCTCATGTGTCTAAGAATTATATCCCGCACACAGGTGGGATCAAACCCGTAACCATAGGGGTCTTACAAATTCTGCTAAACAAAAAGTCACAGTAGGCGACACACACACACACACACACACACATATAGATAGAAATTTAAGTAGGATTATAATAAGTAAAATATGACAATTTCACTTATGGTTACTAAAATTATATATATGTAATAATATAATAAATTAATGAATACCCATTATTATTATAGGCAGCAATTATAGAGAGTCGGAGTCAAGACAAATCAAATAACAAATTAATCAACATAGGAGTGAATACTCATATTTTTAATCTATAGTAATATTTTATTTCTTTTCAACCATTTTACCGTTAATGATACTTGCACAATCTTTATTTTGATTGATATATTAGTCACATTGTTATGAATGTTATATGTTTATAGCCACATACTATCATGCATTGGTTACTGTTATATATATATATATATATATATTAGCTGAACAATGAATTAACAATCTTTTCAGGAGAAACCCAAAGCTGCAATATGCTCACAAATCCAATATGTTGGTCTCTCACTTAGCTTATGCTGATGATATGATCCTCTTTTATAATGCTAGCAAGAATTCAGTTAAGTAAATACATAATGTCATGGTTGATTTTCAATTGGTCTCGGGCCTCTCCTTCAATGCTAGTAAATGCAATATTTTTTTGGGGAAAATGATTAACCGTTCTAATGCCTTTTGGATAGCTAATTTTACGGGTTTCTCCCTCTCTACTCTTCCACTTAAATATCTGGGGGTGTTCATCCTTAAGGGCAGAAGAGACGTATACAGTTTTACGAGGTTGTGGAAAAGATTCGGAAAAAAATCTTGGATTGAAAAAATAATTTCCTTTTCTTTGGGGGTCGTATTACTCTGTTAAGAAGCATACTTCATTCTCTTTCTTTATATATTCTCCAAGTTCTCCAACCCAAAAAGAGCACTATTATGACTCTTGAAAGATGTTTCCATAAGTTCTTATGGGTGGGAAATCATTCTGGTAGAAGATGGTTACCTTGGAAGGATGTTTGTAAACCCATAAGTGTCGGTGATTTGGGTTTCAAATTTCTGCATCATATGATTGATATTAATCTTTTCAAGTAATGGTTCAATTTCAGGAAAAACGAGTCGTTATGGGCCAACTTTATGCATGAGAAGTATTGTCGTTTCTTTCATCCTGCTGTAATAAATTGGTGACTGGGCAATTCCACAATGTGGAAGAGAATGCTTAATGTTAGAGATTGGGCAAGGAACTTCATTTATTGGGAGGTGGGGGGAGGTAACCTATCTTTCTGGCACGATTGTTGGTCTCATGCTTTGCTGAATATGACGGATACGCGGTTCTCTAATCTCAAAGTTTCGAATGTTTGGGTTGATGGCCATTGGAACCTCCCAATAAATTTCATTTCCACAATACCTTTTGATCCTCTTTTGCATGATACTCCTTATTTGAAACTACCCATGACAAACTCTATTACTAAATCTTTATATGTTTCTCGTTATAATTTTCAAAACACCCCTTGGGGGAAAGGTGTGTAGAGTTGGGCTTTTACCCCGTCGATGTCTTTCTTGGCCTGGCGTATTTTTCACTATCATTCCTTGTGATGATATCCTTAAGATGAAAGGTTTGAGAATTGTCTAGAGGCGTTGTTTGTGTTTGATGGCGGAGGAGACCATTGAACATATATTTTTCTCCTGCCCTTTTGCTTTATTTATTTGGAGAAGAGTTGGTCTGTGGTTTGGTACTATTGTTTCTCCTGAGAGGAATCTTCTTCTCACCACCTTGTGTTGCAATTCAGGTGGTAAGAAGAAACATTTTTGGCAAGTATACCCTTATATCATTTGTTGGTTTATCTGGATGGCTCGGAATGATATTATTCATGAGGGTAAGGATATTCAAAAAATGATGGTTTTCACTAATATAATTTCTTACATCAATAAGTTATGGAGACTTGGAAATTCCAAAAAAGGTTTCTTTTCGGGCATTAATTATTTTTTTGGCTTTGGGGCATATGAATGTGGCAGTCAGGAGAATCCCGCACCCTCCTATCTTGGTCAAATGGAGTCCACCCCCTAGAGGGTGGATTAAATTTAATATGGATGGGAGTTAGAAAGGTCCTAATGTTGGGTGCGGGGGCATTGCTAGGAATCACTATGGAAAGTGTTTACTCTTCTTCTCTACCCCTTCTATGACGGATTTCCCTCTTGAGGCTGAGGCTCGAGCTATTTTATCTGTTGTTTTATTGGTTTATTCTCTCAATTGGAAGTATATTATTTTTAAAAGTTATAATAGTTCTTTGATTGATATTTTTACTAATGGTGTCGACACCCCTTGGGATATTCTTTATTATATTAGGAGGATTAAAGGGTTAATTTCTAATATGAATGTCGTTTGGAATTTCATCTACCGAGGGTAATCAACCCGCAAATTGGCTTGCTAATTTGGGGTGCGCTAGTCATATATGTAGGGTGGAAGTAACTCCTCCCCCCTCTCTCTATACTCTGATGTTTGGGGATAATATTGATACCCCTTATATTCGTACTAATGTCTCATCTTGATCTGTGTTGGGTGGCCGAGTGGCTTGGATCGGTCTATACGTTATTCTGGCTGGAAGTTTCTTCCGTTTATTCTTTTTTGAGAAATTTGGAGTTAAGGAGTATGAGATTATGACTAATTATATTTTTGATTTATGTGATGTCCGACCTCTTATCTTTGGCATGGAGGTTCAGGAATCCTTCGATTTTTCTGCTGAGTTTTATTTGGGAGGCCAACGGCTCCCTATTTGCTGGTGGCTGAGTTTATGGAGATGGAGGGTTTCTCAGTTTAAGGGTTGGGACGTTGTGCTGGGTGGTTTTGCTTTTGGGATGTATCATATTGGCTGCCTTATTTTTAGCATGGAGGCCCAGGACTCCTTTGCTACTTTGGTGGTGGGGGTGGGTTGGGGGCTTGGGGATTAGAAGTAGGGCTCTTGGGAGATATAGTGTATGGGCTAGTTTCACGGGTAAGAAGGGTGGTTGGAGATTTGAAGAGTTGCTCTTTTTTCAT